CGCTCCCTCCCACCGGCCCCGGCTCCTCCCTCTCCCTCCTCCCCGCTCCGCCGCCCGGTCGGAGCTACCCCTACGTTCTCCTCACCGCCCCCGCCATCTTGGCGCCCCCCCACATAAATAGAGCAGCCCCGCAGCCCGCGCAGGCGCAGCCGGGCCCGCGTCGCTGCTGTTATTGCTCAGCTTCCCCCGGACGTCAGCGCGGCCGCCGCCGCCCACACGCCGCGGGTGCCGGGCCCGCCCCCGGTTGCCGGGGCGATGCGCACGCCGGGCCCGCCGCTGCCGCCTGCAGCCGCGGGGGCTGCGCAGCTCTCGTCCTCCCGGGGCAGCGCCGGCAGGCTGCGGGGGCCGCGGGCCTGCTGAGGGGGAGGTTCGCTGAGGTCCCTAGAAGTCGGCGGCTGCGGGTCAGTCACCAGAGAAAAGCCACCCGTGCGGGGAGAGCGGCCGTTCGCAGCCTGAACGCGCGGACGCACCGTGTCTCGGCAGCATCAGCCCACGCTGAGTGGAACAGCAGAGGACATCGGGGTTTTATAAAACCGTGCCGTACGGCGGGGTTGATCGCAGCTTGTTCCTACAGAAGAGCAGCCGCTGCCCGGGGTGCCGGTCTGCCCTCGGCGGCACGGAGCTTGTTCAGCGGCCATGCCTGGTCTGCAGGGCACCGGCTCTGGCTGCAGGGAGAGTTGAGGCTTGTTGGGAAAGTGCTGCTCCAGAGAGAGAGGGGACGACGCGAGGAAGGCAGGGTTTGAGCAGCAGCGAGACTTCCCTCATGAGCAGGAGCTGCCTGCAAATACTGCAAGTGTTTCAGTCTGTCACCACCTACTTTGACAGACTGATGGCTGGTATTTCCAGATGGAGGTATGCCACGAAGGCAATGTGAAATTTCAGGAAGCTTATGAACATCATGAATATTGTATCCTCTAGCTTCATTGGAGCACAGAAAAACACATTACCATTTTTGGGGCATTTTTTAGTCTCAGAAATACTGGGTAGGAGTGGGTCTATTCTCTTTTTAAAAAATTTATTCATGCAAAGCAAGCAATTTACATCTATTATTTTGCATAATGATAACAGACTATTCTGTGTATCATATTACTCCACTTTTCAAACTACATGCATCACTGTGCTTGATGTTTTCCTGTCATTGCATAGGAAGCCTTTTGACTTGACTTTTTAATTTCATCTAGACTCCAGAGGAGATCCGTGACACTAGAACAATGTTACTGAAAGTTATAACATCACTAACAGGGAATGAAAGGCATTCCAGAATACTGCTTGGAGCAGCAAGTCACTGGAATGACTGACCTGATCTGAGAAATGTTAACTTTCCTTCCGAGGCTTGAAACTTTGTTGAGCTTTAGTCTAAGGGACTTGTTTTATCTTAAAGCCTTGCATGTTGTGGTGTGACTAGCAAGCTTAGTAGAGGTGGATGTATTCCTCAAATAGGTTTTGACTTTCAGCATCATAACAACATGATTTGGTAGTTGCACAGTTGCACTTGTTCTCTGTTGAGAATTTCATACAGCTGATGCACAAAATAGGAAATGTATTTCTGGATTCAAACTGAGTGATCATCCCTAGGCTCCAGACCTCTGGATTCTGCCAGGAAGATTCTGATTCTCATCAAAGTTTCTGTGTCATCTATGCCATTATATCCTGTGATGGTAAAAAGGGGCCTTTCCTCAGAAAAAGAGCAGTTTATTGCATATCAAACAGAAATCTTATGTGGAAGTCACAGGCTCTTCTGCAGCTCTGCTGAACCTTGTTTTCAATTACCAGATGGGAGTCTAGACCTTGAAATAAGTACAAGAAGAATACAACAGGTAGTTTCTTGACAGATAATACTTGGATATATCCCTGGAAAGTGATAAACTATGTATTTTAAGTATCTAATGTAAAACTCATTCAGTCTTTCAGTCTCCTAACTAAGATATAGGGGACTATATTCAGATGAAATCAGTCTAGGGCATGCCAGAATAAAATCAGTTTTACGAGTACCTGAATCCAGTGCTTCATAGTGTCTTGTAGTCTTGTAGTGTAGATACACCTGGAACCACATCTCAGTCAGATTTTTAACATGCTTTTAAAGTAGAAAAAAAATAAGCTGGAAAGGAACAATCATCATTCAACCCATGGTAGGGTTACAGAGAAAACCAGAAGTAGTTCTTGGAAATAGTTTCAGGTGGCCATTTGTTCTGATATTGTAGACCTTGATATTAGAAGCAGCCTTTCACATCTAAGGTTGAAACAGTAATTCATATGTCCCAATTTCCTTTCTCCTAGGAATTTAATTAGACAAGTAAACCCTTGTATTTCTGTATTATCTAACTTCTAAGCATCTTGGCGTGCACTTATAATTTTTATAAGGCTTAGTATTTGTTTATGCACCTAGACAAACAGTAGCTCTGGATCTTTGCATTTAAAGTGAAGTCACTAAAGACAGTACTAGACAAACAGTAGTTCTGGATCTTTAAAGACTAAACTGTCTTTAGTGACTTCATTTAAAGTGAAGTCACTAAAGACAGTTTGCTCTGAGTATCTGAACTGAATAAAAAAGAACCTTGGCAGGAGATCCAAGCATAGTAGTTACTGGAATATGTTCATGTTACATTTGGTCTAAGATACTAGAACCATTCGGAAAAGAAAACAACCAAATTCACTAGATCATAAGTTCTCAAGGAATTTGGTTTTGAATACATCAGAAGAGTTCCAGGCTTGTACCATTTCAAACACTTCAACAGGAGTTAGATTTGTAATTTATCCATACTTTTTACTCTGTTTTGCTACCTGTTGCCTTCTTTGTCAATAAGCTCAATCTCAGGTATTGTCTGTACATAGTATAATTGTGCTGCCCTTGTCAGTACAACACAAAATTTAACAAGTATCATTTTTAAAAAGTAATTAGAGATGTGCTGCCAGTTACTTTGCTTTCTCTCAGGATATGACCATGCTGAAATAGTCCAACATTGAATACAGATTCCTTCCCTTTGTATGTTATCTGAAGGACACAGAGAGGCACATTAAGAGTTTAAAAAAAATTAACAACTACACAAAGAGTAATTTTGAGATGATACTGAAACTGCTTTTTATTTCACTGGTGAAAAGCAGTATGAGTAGATCAGACAAAGTGGATGCTTGGAACTACAGATGCTACAACCACATCAGTGAGCAGCAGTTTGTTGACCTGACTTAGTTTCAAATACAGAAAACAACAGAGACAGACCAGCAATCTGCAGAGGCCTCTACTTTGGTGCAGGTGGAACACTCCTGCTCTGCTTTGGACTGGCTTCTCTGTCTGTAGCACTCTCATGCTTTTGGGCTGTGTTGGTTGTGGTAGAGTCAGAGCTGTACCCTGTTTCATTACAGACCAGTGGTCACTGCTCTCCTGGACCTCATGGAAGCCATTGTCTGGCTTCCTCTGGGCTGGACACCCCACAGCAGCAGGCCCAGGGTCCCACCAGAAAGCAGAGCTGTCCTTATCATCAGTTATATACCTCCACGGAGCTTGTTTTCAGCTTCAAAGGCTATTACTTTACTTCCATGAGCCATGAGCCTGTTGCCCTTGGATGTGAATGCAGGAGAAAACATGTTCTACTTGTATAATAATATTCCATAATAAGTTTAGGTGGCATGGGATGGCAGTTTGTTCTCTCCTTTCCTTAAGGTGAGCATTGAGATCTACATTAGAGGTAACAGCTGTAGTGGCAGCCAGCTCATACCAGTGGCAGTCACATCTCCACTGCTCAAAAGTCTCCAAGACAGAGAGAGAATATCCTCATTTACCATCAGCTGCTTCCTCACCCTGTCCTTGGTTTCTTATGGTCCAACCACACATCTTGTTGATCCTTGTGGTCCTTTCACTGGAACTGCTGCCACAGCAGCTGCAGCTTCCATTTATGTGTCAGGAGATGATACAGATGCAGGTATGTTGGTGTTTATGAAGCTTTTACTAGACCTGCTGCTGCATCACAAGGATCCACTGCACCAACAATATGGCTAGCATTTCTGGTTTTCTGTTTAATGAGGATCTCTGAATTCAAGTGTGCTTTTAAAAAAAAATAAGTTCTATTTTCTCTTCCAGCTTTACTAAGTTGCTCTCTGCTAGACCCAGAATCAAGAAACAAACCACCTGTTTTCTTTCCAAAATGAAACACCAATGCCTATCATACCATTTAGAAAACTGATTTATCTGCGTGATCCTGCACCCTCATATTTTTACTACTGTTGTTCTTTTAAGGAAAAATACTGTTTCCTGAAGAATTTACCTCTAGCTTTCTTTCCTCAGGCACATATATTTAGGAGCTGTTATCAGCAGCTCTGCCATAGCCTTGAGAAGTCTGAAGTACACTTTTCAGTGAAGTAAACTGGAAGGACTGTAGGCAGGTAGAGAAATGACAAATTCACTCTAGGAAGGCTGTGTGCATTAGCTTCAGGTAATTAGAATCTCCTTTGATGGGGCAGTAAAATTCGTTTGTCACAATTTCAAGGCAGAGGAACTGCGATAATGAACTTCATCCCATATGTTTTTATTTGCTCCCTGTGAATTGCTCAAGCCTTGCTTACTGGAGAATTTGAGCCCAAGAGACACTGAACTCCTCTCCAGAGCTTTAAAAAATGCTTTGAACAAATCTGACCAAAAGCGCAAGGTTTCAATGGCAGTAGGAAGTTTTAAAACCAGTAACAATTTTTATGCAAGAAGTAGTTACTGCTCCTGTAACTGGAAGCACCTTTTACCCCTAGAAGTGGATTTAGGTGTATCTTTTGCTCACTTGCTGAGATGAGGAGTGGTCTTCCAACACCATGTTTTGTGCCAGAACAACATAAATGGCATGGCTGTGTATCTCGGAGGTAGCTGATGAAAACAAAATGTTGGCTTTTATCTCACGTAAGCTAGAAATCAGGGCAAGTCATCATGGGAAAGAAGTCAAGGGATTTACAGGAAGGGATATGTCATGGTAGTGTGAGTTCCTGAACTAAAGGTGGGGGTGTTATCAT